TGAAATGTACGTTCGTTGACGAAATGGTGTGAATAAAATGTCGAATAACGACAGTACAGGGAAGAAATTCAACGGGATGCGGCCGCTGAACTTGGCAACTATAAAATATCCAAACGCATTGCTGATCAATGTTAGGTACGTATATAAAAAGATTTTCATAGAAACTAATGTTATGTTTTTATCACTTATTATCTGTTCATTCGTGTGAAATCGCATCAACTTACAAAAGCTATTAGCTCTGTTACTGTTGTTCAAAAAATTCAACAATTTTCACAATGCTTTCAATTCATACATTACAATTGGATCATGTAATATTACAATATTGCAAATTATTACATTTATGCATATAATAATTATACATTATTGTAAATTTGATTTGTTGGAAAAGAAAACTATTAAAAATTATATTTTCAATAAGTTTTCTACCTCTTAGAAGCTCAATGTTGCATTGACTACAAGGTCATTAGCGATATGAAGTACTTAGTTACTTCCTGTGTTTTGTTGCTGTCAGATTCTGTAGTAGAGTTTTTATTTAAATAACATGATTTTGGAACCTGTGTTGTCAAAGTACAATGTAAAGTACAATATAAGTATAAAAAGTACAAAAATGTTTAGGTGGAGTTTGTATTTATGTCTTGGAAACTTCTGCACTCGTGACAATGTGCTCAGAAATTAAGGTGTAGATAAAGTTTCTTCAAGTTTAGATCACGCAGAATTATTAAAATTCCTATTGTCACGCAATTTTCCACTCCCAGTTTTTATCAAACTTTCCCACAGTTTTATCTTCCTTTTCCAGCGTGGAAAAAAAAAAAACGCCTCAGAGCTATTATACAGTGTTTCTGTGGAACTGTTTAATGTATTATTTATAGGAAGTACACATCACTTTCAGAGAAACTTTACTCATTGTCAATTAATTCTTTTTCCTATAACTAGCGCAACACACCCTCTCTTATGAAACTGTTTTTCCTCTTACTTAGAGATATTAATGTAATTGAAATGATCAGAATGTAATGTTGCAAAAACTGAAGAAATAATTTATTACCAAATTCTGTAGAAATTGAATATAGAAAATTGTTGAAAGATTCATTTATGTAAAGTGTCATGTAAAAAAAAAAAAAAAAAAAACATACTTGTGTTATCAATTAGGAGAAATTTTTCCTTCACTTAAATAAAAAATGAAGATGAAACTACTACATAATTACATTATATTTAATTACATGTTATCAAACGTATTGTTGTGAATTACATACGTTTAATTATATATCATTAAACATATTATATTATATTATACAATGTTATTTGTGTTTAATAAAAAAACAGCCAAAACAGAGTGAATATTAAATTTCAGAGTGGAGGAGGAAGTTTCAATCTTCAAATTCATATTTCATAGCAGGTTCAGCCATTAGAGAAACTTCTCAATGTTTTTACACACTGTGAAAATTTGAATTAGATAGGATATATCTAATAAATGTTTAATGATAATGAACGTTCAAATTTCAAGGACCCTCTTGAAACGTTGTTGATCAATAATAGTTGTCAATAATTTTTAAAGTCAAGCTAATGCTAATCTTATAACTCCAACATCTCTCTGTATCATCATTATATTAAATCCTTTGAATCGAACACTATGTTTATTTCACTCAGATACAGCAGTATATAGTACTTATTCTGACATGAACAAATATTGAAAGAGAGTTTCAACCGCACGAACGATTTTTCTATAGCAGCACCAAGTATGGAAAGAAGTATAGAACGTTCCTGTGTCTGGAATTTTTACAATGCTTGACCCCACATCGAGGCGAGACATAGACTTTCCAATGATTGTTCAAGCAAACATTTATCGAGTTCCCAAGAACTATCTATAAAACACCCTCCACCCTGTTCTTTGCACGCATGATAGAACTCTCTGAAGCAACGAGTTTATCTTCTGTTCGCCATGCGATCCTGTGGGGTGTACACCGTCGATCGCGACGCGTCACGACGAAGGTTCGATAGATCACCAAAGGCGATCAGTCATTCCATGTGAATCAATCATGCTCCGTTTTCAATTATTTAATATCACTTGTCCGTGTGTTCGACATATCTTCTGCTTGTGCCAAGTGATGTGTCGATCGCTCGAATTTACCATCTAATAATATTCGATATCATTAAATTCGTACGATTGTTCTGAACTGTTGTTGCAAGTTATTTCAAAAGAATTGCACGAATTGTACGAATAAGTATATAAATCAAGTTGAATCAGTGTAAATGTAGGAAAGCAGTAAAGTGACTTTAAATATGTTGAGATGTTAGAGATATATGTTTATCAAAAACAGTTGAAGAAGTTCGTACAAACTTGATGCAATCGTCGATGAAATCATCTCGATGTTGATTTTGGCACTGTAATTTAAACGTGGATGATAATTGAAATAAATAGATCTATACATCAGAATCGATTTATCTAAGCAGATATTAATTTTCGAACAAAAATATGACTTGTATCCTTCCAGGAAGAGATCTAAAATTTGATTATTGAAATTTTTTTCAGGTCACCGAAGAGCAGCTCGCAGTTTGGCAAACTCGACAACCTGAAGACGGATATGGATACGATCGGAAGTAAGCTTGAGAAATCGCTCGTATCAATCGTGAAATTGAAACTGATCGTTCGGGATTCGAATTTTTTCAGTGTCGGAGCCAGTAACATCTTCCGTCAGTGCGTTCGATCCGAACACCGACAGCTTGCACGCATCCATGAGGCCGATTATCATGTTGGCGCAATGTTTCTCCCTGTTTCCTGTTTCTGGCGTTAATTCACCCGACGCGTCGTATCTCAGGTGATTTGTTCCTCCTCGTTTAATTAACCAGAGTTCGATGAAGTGTGTCAGTGATTAATTGCTGGTGTCAAGAAAAACGAAACCATCATATTTTTTACAAAGTGGGGAACGAAAGAAAATGACAAGAGAATTTTTGCCATATTTGTAGGGAATAAAATCACTGTCACTAAAATGATAAACAGTATAATTGTTCGAGTGATGCTCTGATTTATCTAAGAGGATTCTCACATGAAGATTTCTTGAGACTCCAATAATTTTTGACATTAAAAATAACTTTCGTTCTGTTTCAAATAAACGGAAATCATCTTCGAATTCTGACGCGTTGTTTGTTACAAAATTGTCTAAAATGTAGATAATCTGCAAATTTGTCCGATGTTCTTATAAACATTTCAAGTCGATCGTTCTCAGCAAAGAACCAAGTTTCCCCTTTGAACAATTGTCGTTGTAATCTTGTTAAAATTGTAGGTAATTTCATGTGCAAGTTTTTAACGTGTCAAAAAATTTGAATTTATAGCTTCGGAAATTTATTATTAAGTATATAATTATCCATGATTTATTTAGTATCGTTTGTCGATCAAATATTATCATAATTGAACATGAATTGAATTATGCTATATTCATATTATTATATTGCTTTATATTATATTATTAATATATTATAAATATAAATATTCTTTAATGATATTTTTTTCCATATTTAGGTTCACTTGGCGCAGTCCGAAATTTATATACTGCGTAATTTCGATCGTTGGTTCATCGATAATGACCATTTTTAACATTTTGAGGATAATTACCAACGAAATAAATCCCATAAAAATGAGTAAGACTTTTGAAAATATTTTATATGTGTATGTATTTCCATAAAAACGACTCTTTAGCAATTAGATAATTACGCACATCGTGTTTCATAAGTGAAATAAGCAAAACCAAAAATTTTGTAACAGAACCAACATATTGCATTCATTCACAGTTTTCTTTCATGATGATTAAATCTAAGTTAATACTATAACATTGAAATTTTTCCAACTTCTCTCAAGTCAATGTTTGTTCAGTAATTTTAAATTACTAATTGTATTATATAATAATTT